CGCGCGGCCCACAGCTCCCCGGCAGCCCGCGAGCGCTGAGCAGCACCGTGGGCCAGGGAGGAGGGGGTTGTGCTGATGAGAGCTGGGTTTTGGCTGCGTCTCTGCCCATTGCAAAACTGTGGGAAAGCCAGGCGCTGCGGGCTTGGCCGTGACTGTGTTCCCTGGTGGTTCACGCTGGAGGTAGCCTTGGTTCTGTTTTGCCCTTGTCAGGCTGTGACTGTCTCTCATTTCTGAATGCTGAGGCCAGAGCTGGTGTAAATCAGCAGTGATTTTTGCTTAGCTCACCTATTGTACACTAAGCAACCAAAAATCCCGTGGAGAGAGTTGGAGGTGGGCTATAAAAAGCCCTGAGAGCTGTTCACCCCTGCCCCATGGTCCACTCTTCCCCCCTGCACAACCCAACGTGCGCTCATCACAAGGGAGCTTCTGCAGTTGGGCCCTTGCTGGTTTTCATGGCTGCTAGGATGCAGATGGGGGACCCTGGTGGTGGGCTCAAGGCTACCATCCTGCTTCATGACTGCTCCAAGGGGCCTGGGGGAGACATGGTGAGGATGAATGTACTTGCTGAGTGTTCCCAGCTAAGCTGGGAAAGCAAACAACTCCCTCCTGCCTAGCAGAAGGGGATAAACCTGTGCTCGTCTTGGGCAGGTGGGACCAGATGGCTGCTAGCCACAACGCAATGCAAAACAGGCAGCAGCTCTTTTTGTGCAGAGGCTTTTGGGGCTGGGGGCTTGGCCAGGCTGAGAAACTACAGGGCAGTGGGACTACAGGGCATGTGAGGGTGCTGTGAAGTGGGGCTAGGAGGCTGGGGGACAGTAGTGCTGGGATGGACAGATCCAAGAGCTCTTAGCTAGGCCATGGCAGCCAGCAGAAGCATAGCAGTTGTAGCCCCCTCCTGCCCTGGGAAGGCACAGTGTAATCCCAGCTCTCACGTTGTTGCCGCTCGTGCCACATCACGCATGGACACTGCACACCAGTCACCACACAAACTCAAGCACTGCTCACACCAGCAGCTGAATTTCCTCTCACCAAAACACATTTTAATGTGGATGCTGTTCAGGTTTGTATTCCCTGTGACAGGCAGGTCTGCAGCACAGAGAGCTGGGCAAGGATGGGATCAAGGAGAGGAGCTGGTGACAGAGGGGACAAAGAGACCCCCAGTATGACGTAGAAAGAGGAGATCCCACGGTGCTGACCCCCATGCTGAGGGTGAGAGTGGGCTAGTCCTTCTCTTCACCGTGTGTAATGACGTGGACAAGGTTTTTGTAATCGAGGTTGCCGGAGACATCTGGAGGGAAGGCGGCGAACATCTGATCGATCTGCCAGGAAAGAAAATGTGCCAGGTGGTGAAAATGTGGCACAGGAGAATTTTGTGTCTGGGGCCAGGAGAAGAGCTGGGGGCCCATCAAACCCCCTTTGAAAAGAAACCCCAGGTCTTCTGTGCCCTGCTCAGCTCAATTGCTGCAGGGTAAGTGGTGGCTGGTGGGTTCTGACAGCACACTGTTCTTTAGCTCAGTAGCCCCAAGGATTGCTTGGAAATGTGACTTTGCCTGATCTGCCACCCCACCATACCTTTCAGAGGGGAAACTGAGGCACAAGTAGACTGTGAAACAAGATACAGAAAGGGAAGCAGAGCCAGTACAGCTTGGGCATGGACAGGGATGGAGGGAGGCTGGAGGCTGGTGAAAGGGGTGGGGAGGAACGCATACCTCTTCCTGGGAAAACCTCTCGCCCTGCGTCATCAGCATTTCTTTGATGCTGCAGATAAGAGAGGATATTGTGAGTATGAGGGAGACCTCAGTGTGGATCACCTCCCTCCCCTCCCAAGCACCTCTGCACTTACTAGGCAGATTTCAGGCCTTTGCCCTCTGGATCAAACACCTTGAACGCGTTCAGGATAGTCTCCTCTGGGTCAGCACCTGTGGGTGACAAGACCACGTCTATTGGAAGCAGTGGAGGAAGAAGCCAGGCAGAGCCACCTGCTTCCCGCAGCCTCCTGCAGGAAACTCCGGGGGGCCGGATGGTCGGGAGAGTCGGCTCCCATGCGGCCAGGATGGGAAGCAGCAGGCAGTACCACGGGTGGGTTCTGCGGGAATACCAGACCCCACAGGGGCCTGAGCCTTGAGTGCGTGTCATTGCACGGAGAGGAGCAGATGTACGGTCACGATGTGCCCGCAAAGGAGGCTGTGTCACCACCGCCCTGGCATCCGGCGAATATCTAATCTCTTGGGTGTATTTATAGATCTCCAAACGTAGGATCTGGGCCGTATAGCCTCCTGGAGATCTGCAGGGAGGCTGCATGCCTCAGCTTACATAAGTGATACAGGGGAGCAGGCGACCAGGGCAGTCAAAGTCACACTGGACCTGGTGCCCTTACGAGGTGACCATTTAGTACCACCGTTAACGTCAGCAGCCTCAGAGGCATTGCAAGGTCCGCTGTCACCTCTTTTTATGAGGACAGCAGCATTGCGGCCTATTGGATTTTTTTAAATGCTGGGGAAACTGAGGCACATAGACTTGCTCATATCCTCCTACACGTGAGAAGGGGAGAAGGGATGAGATCTAGGTCTCTGGACAGGCAGTCCCTGCCCTGCCTCTGGGACTGTTGGTATTGCAAGGCAGTGCAAACACTTGGGCACTGGGACCTCTCCAGGGGGGTGGTTGCTCTGAGTATGTAACGCAGTTTGTCCTATCTGCTGTGTCTTGGGGAAGGGCGGTGGGGAGGCCATAGATTGGTCTGTCTAAGATTTCTGGGATGAGGACTGGAGCTCCTGAGGAGAGGGGTTGTTGCAGGTGATGATCCCACTGAAGCCTTTCTTTCAGGGGGTCCCTGTGCTGCTGTTGGGAGAAGCTGGCACTAGGGGACGTGGGAGGGATAAGCTGAAGGAGATGATTTCACAGGAATCCTGTGCTCGTCCACAGGCATCTGCTCTTGGCCGGGCGTGGGAGTTACCGAGTCAGCGGCATCTTTGCTCTGACCCAGTCTGGCTGGCTCTCAGGCTCGGCACACTGCAGTATTGCAACCAGCGTTACCTGCGTTTTAATAACCGTTGCCCTTCCTTCTTTAGCAGCTCCCCTTTGAGGCCTCCAAGGAGCCTCTGTGATAGGAGCCGGGCCTCTCCTGAAAGGGTGGTGGAGGCCCTGGGAGGTGGGTGGTTTGTCCAAGTGGTGCAGGAAATCAGAGGTAGTGTGGGTGCCCGCCGAGCCCTCCCTCTGCTCCCCGGGCTCCCTCTCACCCTTGAGCTTCTCTCCAAACATGGTCAGGAACACAGTAAAGTTAATTGGTCCAGGCGCCTCCTTTATCATCTCCTCAATCTCCTCATTCTTTACATTCAGACGTCCTAGGAGAAAGCAGTGTTAGGTGATTCAGGTGTCGGGCTGCAAATGGGTGCAGACCTCCAGGGTCTGCTCTATGCATCAAGGGGCTAAAGACACAAAAAAGGAAGCCTTTCCCTGGAGGTCTTTCCCCTGCTGGAGGGAAGCAGCAGAGGCTGCAGCCCCAGGGAGCCATCTCAGACAAGAGCAGTAGCGAGAGCAGCAAGAGGAGAATCATGTGCTGATAGAGAATGGGGTGGGCCGGACACGTCCAGCTCTGCTTTTTTCAGGCTCCAGGATCACAGAAAAGAGAGCTGCAAAGGACTGAGCTGTGTAGACCGTTCCCCTGCCCCATGGCAGGATCAACTCTGCTTTAGTCCTCCCCAGGAAGCATTTGTCCAGCCTGCTCTCAAACCCACCAGTGCTGTGGATCCCCCCAGGCCCCGGGTGACCTGATCACTGCCATAATGAGGACATTGTGAGCTGAATTCATTCCTGGCTACCTCTGTCAGACACAAACAGGACTGAGTGCCTGAACCCTTTTACCCCTGGGTTGTCTTTGGGAATCCCTGGACCCGTCACTGGTTTGTACTGGACTCACTGATGGGAAAGCTGAGATTGTGACTTTACAGCTTTCCACAAATCCTGAAAATCCCTGTAAAGCCTGTAAACCCAGGGATGCTGTGGGATAGGTACAGCAAGGTGCTTTTTAGCACGAGAGAACAAAGGGAGCATTTGGCTCCGTATAAGCCAGGAGCTGGTTCTTTCTAGTACCTACAGGATTAAACACCTGCAGCTACGGGAGCTGCTCTGCTACACTACACGTATGATCTGCCCGTCTAATAGAAGTGGTTTTGGATCAGGAGGGTTTCAGCAAAACAGACATGAAATCCACTTAACCACCGGGGCCTGCTTAAATGGAGACTCATGGGCGGCTTCTCAGTTAATCGTTTTACTGTTATCAAAGCTTTTGGGGAGGAGAGGTTCCTAAAAGGGGGCTCACCAAGTGCAGCAAACGTGTCTCTCAGATCCGCCTTGTCGATGAAGCCATCCCTGTTCTGATCCATGATGGTGAATGCCTGGGAAGAAGAGGAGGAGGACAGGGAGCACAGGGAGAGGGACAGCTGTCAGCCCTTGTGAAGGCTTTAGTACCCTCCTCTTCCTCCCATTGCTTTCGGGGAACAGAGGGCTTTGAGCCCTGCAGGGGAGGGGGCTGCGAGAGTCCTCCCTCAGCCAGGGAGCAACAATCATCACAATCATCCAGCAGCAATTCTGGCCCTTTCGCCGTGGCAGGGCAGGGTGACAGCTTCCTACGGCAGCCCAAACCCTAATGTCACACAGCCCCTGTGCCTTGGCCGAAGCTGTCTCACACTGGGACGGGACAAACTGGGGAGGGCAGCCTGAGCCGTCAACTGCCCTGACTGGGACCAGTTATCCCAGTAACTGGGATCTACACCTGGCCGTGTGTGAGCTGTGCAAGGGAGAGGTCACGATGAGCTCCTTGCGCCGCTGGTGGGAGTTAGCTGGGATGATGTGTTCCTGCTGTTGCCGATGCTGCCGGCTGCATGGGCCATCGTTCCCTCTTCTGCAGGGTGCGTTCTCCTAGGAAGCTCTGAGGCAATTCCTTATTTAACAGTGTCTCTGAATTATTATTCTCGCTTTTAAAATGAGAACAATTTAAAAATGGGCATTCCACCTGCTATTGCAAAACAGCCGTCCCTGATCTGAAAGCACTGAGGAAGGAGCTGAAGGTCATGCTGTGTCAAGGACTCGTGGTCATTTCTCCAAAATCCACCTACCTCTTTGAATTCCTGGATCTGGGCCTGCTCGAACATAGAGAAGACATTGGAATTAGCACCCTCAATCCTCTTCTTGGCTTTCTTGGGTGCCTGCAGGGATTCAAGTATGTATCACTAACTCACTGTCTTTTTATAGTGTGGAATAAAAGCATGAAACTACCCTATTCTTAGTCCTGAGTCTTTTGCGGTAGTCTCGGCTGGTGCCTGCTGCCTTGCTGTAGTCCCTGGGCGCTTGGTGGTTTCCCAGCACATTGCTCAGGAGATGTGGGCACATGCAGTGCTCCGAGTCACCGAGGGACGTACAGATTTCTGCTTACAGTACAGCTCCATCCTTGCGCTCCGGAAGAATTTTGCCAAATAGGTCAGAGGAAGGGTGAGCTGGAGAATCACTTGGCCATAAAATGCTACAGCAGGTAAAATGATTGACATTGGGCTGAGATCTCCCCTTGCTGAAATACAGGTTTGGGAGGGCGTTGCTGAGATTGCAGGCAAGGGCTGTAATCGTTAGGCACTTCCTTACCGTTCTGTATCTCTAGTTAAGAACAAAGCACTTATTAAAACATTTGCCTATTAAAAAAATCTGTCTCCTCCTGCACTGAGGCTCAAAACAACCAGAAATGGCTTTACTTGTCTTTTAACCAGGAGATGAGGACAGACTCGCTCACTGTGCTGCTTGCTAGGCCTGTCAGTCATCTTCTCTTTTCAGCTGCGTACACACTCCTGCAACTTTTCCCTTCTAACCGAGGGGTTCTGCCAAGAGCAGCGGGTGAGTTTTGGGGGACAGAACTGCCCCCTCACGGCATAGAGGAAGGGGAAGAAAAAAGATGACATTCGGACCCCAAAGAAGTCTGTCCTGTTTAGAAAGCTCTGCTGACTGCCACTAGCCTGGGAGATACC